ATTTATTAAGGACCTGGGAGAAAAATTCTCAATAAATTCAATGGAATATGAACAAATGTCAAGAAGCTATGTGATGGAACTAATGGGAATTATTCTGATATAGATGACCAATTTTAACCAAAAAGTGTCCAGATAATTCAAAAAGTAATCCATCAAAAAGAACAAACACATTCTGAGTCAAAATCATGAACAGGCCATTGGATTATTGGAAAATCTAATCAATGAAGATGCAAGAATCTTATGAACATATTAAGGGTAAGACTTAAATGTCTTGTGGATTTGAGACAAATTAGTTACATCAATGAAGATACCATAAACTCTGCAAAAGTTTGTTATAGGAAATCATGAACCAAACCAGCTCATGCAGGTCATCAATTCAATGAATATGTTCAGTCACTGTAGATGAAAAACTGAAATGCCCTGAAATCTGCCAGCTGAAGAATAATGAGGTTCATAAATTTGGCAAAAGAGTTTTATTTCTCATAAAGCATTGCAGCCTGCAGGCTGACCATCTTGCAGACTGGGAAGTGTAACCTCCTTAAGAAGTACTTCAGGGGAGGGATCAATGGATTTGGAATGTACGCTGAGCAGGTTGGCTAAGTATACACGTTCAGCAAGTCATAGGAGGAGTGATGGACACTCACAACAGGAAGGCAAGGGCATGCGTAGTAGCTAACAGGCATGCAACGTGCTTCCCTGCTCACTTCAGGGAGACTTAACATTTGAATGTATTACAAGTAGGCTCTAAACATCAAAAGGTGAAGCAGAGGACATGGAGGCCCTCCGTGTGTAGCATCCCTAGCTGGCCAGAGCCACTCTGTGGCTAGTGGTCTCTCACCAGGAAGGAATGATGGTGAGTCCTGTGTCAAGATTGTAAGGGAGCAGCAGCATGAGGGCTGGTTGGTATCGGAAGTGGAGCAAGTCTTTCCAAAGGGCTGGTTTGTGTAATCCTTAAAGAGAAAGCCAACGGCAGTCAGCAAGAGGGGCGGTATAACAAGGCCCGCTGACCTTCCTCCTGTCATGGCCAGGAACCCAGTTTTTAAGGTTTCTTCAGGGCCCCCTTGGCCAAGAGGGGATCTGTTCAGCTGCGTAGGGGCTTAGAATTTTATTTTTATTTCTCAAATCTTGCAGTTCATATATAATGAATTTTTCCCCAAATCTAGACAATATTGAACTTTACATAATGTGACCAATATTGAATTGAAAAGGGAAAGTAAAAAAAATTCTCTAAATCTTCAATAGTAAATTTTAATAAAACACACTAGAGAAAGATCTGAATTGTCTTTCTATTCTCTCTATAGAAAATGGTACTGCAAAAACTGTTGTGTTTTGAGGAGGTGATCAAAGAGGGTACAACCAAAATAGGTAAGAAAAAGTATTTTAGAGCTGCATCAGAAAGTTAATTGAAAATAATTTGTTTTCAGATTTTGTGACATTTAAGTTATGTTTCAGATTTTTTACATTATAGTTAGTTTGGAAAGTTCTTAATCTTGTTTCTTCCTGTGATATTGTGAAATGTATATTTGGTCTTCTGGTTTCCTGATTCATAGCTCCCCAAATCCTTGGGATCTCTGGAGTGGTGAGTGGCTCTTGTATGCTAATGAGATGACTGGAGCTCCTCGATAGTCTCTGGTGGGGGACTGTTCGCTGTTTTCAACCCTCCCAGGAGGGAAGGTTGAAAATTTCAGCCTACCTCCTACTCCCCCAGACCCCAACCACCTCTCTCACTTCCAGGGAGGATAGAAGGGCTGAATATTGAGTTGATCACTGACAGCCAATGATATAATCAATCATGAGCTACCTAATGAAGTTTCCCTAAAAATCCAAAAGGACTGAGCTCTGGGTCTTCCAGATAACAGAACATGTAGAAGCTCCTGCAGGGTGGTGTATCCAGAGACAGCATGGAAGCCCTGTGCCCCTTTTCCCATTCCTTGCCTTATGTATCTCTTCCATCTGGCTGTTCATCTGTATCCTTTGTAATTTATCTTTATAATTAATGTGTAAATGTAAGAATTTCCCTGAGTTCTGTGAGCCACTTTAGCAAATTAAATAAACCCAAGGAGGGGGTTGGTGGAACCCCAGTTTATAGCTGGTTGGTCAAAAACAGTTCACCATCTGTGCTGCAATTGGCATCTGAGCTGAGGGATAGACTTGTGGGAATGAGCCTTCAACCTGTGGGATCTGACACAATCTCCAGCTAGACACTGTCAGAGCTGAGCTGGATTAGAAGACACCCAGCTGGTGCCCACTGGAGAGTCATCTGCAGAATTGTTTGGTATGTGGAGAAAAACTCCACACATCTGGGGTCATAGAAGTGTGAGTGTTGTGAGAGTACAGCAGGAGAAACTGACTTTGTTTTTTCCTATGTCCTTACACTTCTAAAATTTCTTTTGCATAGTCTCTTCTCTTTTGCTGACATTAAACCTTATTACTCTATCCTCTGTCTCTGACCAACTCTTCTGTAGTTTTCCATTACTTATCCTTACCATGTTTTATTCTGTTTTCTCCTATCCTACTTTCCAATTATCCTCAATGACTCATCTGTCAAAGACAACCAATGAGTTCTTAATTTTGATTACGGAATTTTTTGGTTTTCCAATTTGCCTTTGGTTTTTGTAGCATATGTTACAACTTCTCATGTCTGCTGAAATTCTATTGTCTTTTATCTCCTTGAACATAGTAAAAATAATTATATGAAAGTTTGTATATCTTTTAAACATTCTATTTTCTTCTGCTATTTCTATAAATTTGTACTTCCACTCTCTGGAGTCTTTGTGGCTCTGTTGCCACTGTTAGCTGTTTCAGCTGGTATTCGTACATATTGTCGCATCTCCTAAGAAGTATGCTTACTTTTTCCTTGTATGCTAGATTCTGTAACTCAAAATTTATCATAGAAATAATTTGAAGCTCAGGTGCTAACAAGATTCCAAAGAATTACAAAGCCAATTTCCAGAAGGGAGAATTGAGCTCAGCACTGGAGATCCCTTTTTCCCTGGAGGAATTTGCATGTTCCCGAGGGAGGAGCTGAGAGGTGGGGTGAAGCCACTGACTGCCTCATGGGGCTAGGGGACATGTTTGGAATTGCAGAAGGCTCTATGTGTGCATGTGCATGTGTGTGTGCGTGTGTGTGTGTATGTGCACCTAGGACAGAGCCCTTCAGTGCTCCAAGTCAAAGCAAGTGGAGGATTGGGATAAACTTAGCTTGGATTACGTTTACACAGCTCATCATTACTTCCAGGCACAGTAAAATCATTGCTGCCATCCTGAGGTGGACATAGCTTCCGGGAATGCCCAGGAAGCCCATTCTGCTGATGCACCCAGCATGTGACCTGAAGTGCAGGATCACAGGTCATCTCCCAGGGTCACAGGTCATCCCCCAGGGTCACAGGTCATCCCCCAGGGTCACAGGTCATCTCCCAGCCCAAACATGCTCCACAGCACGGGAAGTACATGGAGGGGAAGGGGATGAAAGTCTGAAAAAGATACAGTCAGAAGCCAGTTTGTCAAAAGATTTTCCACATCTTACAGCTTACATATGAAAGAAGATTGACAGAAGTTATCCACAACTTGACAATAACACTAAAACTTACATGACTTACCAATAATGAGTTGTAAAACTGAAAGAAAAATTTTCAAATTATCAATGAGAACCAAATTGTGATCGATTGTGCTAAAGACTGAATTTTCTCACTATTATCTCTATAGAAATGACATTACAAAACTGTGGTCAGAGGAAAAGGCAATCAAACATTATGCAGACGAAAATATAAGAAAACAGGAATTCCAGAGATTGGTTGGACAATTAAGCAATAAATATATTATTTTCTTGGATTCTATGCTGTTTGTGGTATTCCACAGGTTTTGAAAGTGTGTAATTCACGGTAATTTCCTTTATCTTTCTAAATGATAACAATTGTGTACTTAATTTTGTATTTCTTCTTTCTGAAAGAGGACGCCCACATTGTGTAAGCTCAGGCCCCTCTCAGACTAACTCTGTACCAGTGTATGTGTTTCAAAGGCTTTGTTCCATAGTTACTTAAGAAGGGATCCTCTGGCTCTCGTCATGCCACTTAAACTCCCTGGATTTCATTTTAGTCGTCTGTAAAATGAAGGAATTAGCCTAAAACTTCTGAGATCTGTTGCAGCTCTAAAAGCAGGGCCTCTGCAATGCCGTGAATCGTAGTGGTAAGATTTAGTAAGGCTTTCCTCACTGTGTGACCTTGGAAAATTATGTGTCCTGGTTTGACAGATGAGAAAAAAACTGACCCAGAACAAGAAAAAGCACATACACAACTGCAGAACTCCAAAAGAGAGCAACCAAGACAGAAATCAGAGGGACGAACAAAACAGCAGGTGGCCAATTTGGCCATGTCCCAGGGCAAGGTGCTGGAGCATCTAGGCAAGACTATCAGGGCAGGTGGCCAAGGCCGGCTTTGCAGCTCAACTCAACACCATCTCAAGGATATAAAATGGTTAACGGCAAAGAAAATAGAAGACAGAATTTCTTTGGACAAAGTTTTTAGTGTGCTATGGCAATTTCTGTCCCCATAGCCAGAGGTTTGGAGTTCATATTTCTGCATAGAAGTAGGTCATCTAATAATTAAAATCAAACTGTTGTGGTAACTAGAAGTGACTAGAGGATATTTTCTTTCTTTCTTTTCTTTGTTTGAGATGGAGTCTCACTCTGCCGCCCAGGCTGGAGTGCAGTAGTGTGATCTCAGCTCACTGCAACCTCCGCCTCTGGGTTCAAGCAATTCTCCTGTCTCAGCCTCCAGAGCAGCTGGGACCACAAGGCATGCCACCACACCCAGCTAATTTTTGTATTTTTAGTAGAGACGGGGTTTCAACATTTTGGCCAGGCTGGTCTTGAACTCCTGACCTCAGGTGATCTGCCCGCCTTGGCCTCCCAAAGTGCTGGCATTCCAGGCATGAGCCACTGCACCCGTCCAAAGTCACACTTAACTTGATGGTTTAAAGATACTCGAGACAGAAATACTATGTAAATTATGCAGCATTTTACAAATTTTAATTTGGATTACATTGCTTTTATGAGTCATCATATCAACAAATCTCATACTTAATAGATTTTATAGATCAGTACAATTTACAAATATTTTGAGAGGTAGGTATTAGGCTGCTAAGTCTTTATTTGCCAAGTAAAAACATTTTTTAAAATCCCATCATTTAAAATCACTAACATTTTATAAGAGGAAGAAAATGTTTGCCCTAAATATGTAGGAAAATACATAACAATACACTAGCAGAATAAAAAAATAGGACTAGAAATGTAATAAAGTTAACTTTATAAATGTTTGCCTCATAATTCTTTTTCCCCATAGGCATGTAAAAACTTTGTTATAGACCTGGGTGTGGGAGCTGTGGATTAAAAGCTTATTGAGGCATTGCTTTCGTTATGGGATTTCAGCAACCAAAAAACCATGATGGTCCTATCAGCATTTCAAAGCTATTTAAATTGATATGAACCACAAACTGAGTTATAAATCCAACCTCTTTTATTTTCTGATACAATAAACCAAAACATCAAATTCTAACATCACTCTCTTAAGTATCTCCTTCTCAGAATTGTCCATGAACCCCAAAGATTTACCAGGTCCAAAGGTGAAGGTGGGGCTTGAGTCCTCAGTGCAAAAGAAAACCCTCAATGCACCACTGCAATTACTTCTGCTGCCCCATGGTGGCGCTGTTGAAGCTTAGTCCTGCACAGCCCTGGCAATAAAGGAACTGCCTAGGTCACCAAGGATCTTCAGGGGTCTTCAAGCTGCTTCCAAAGTATTGCTTGCCACTAAAAGCATTCTATATTAGAGCTTCAAAGTTGCAGCTCTTAAAGATATGCTCTTTTATCTCACATAGAGGGGAAACTTCCAGAGCACCAACTAGCCCAGGAGCAGTTCTAACAGCCACCACCTCAGCCTATAGAACTGGCACTCCCCTTTCCTCCATATCAACCACTTTGGCAGGAATGGGGCAGATTTTCCTTTGCATCCTTTGAACAGAGAAATGCTCACCACGTCCCCTCCCTGGACACTCAGATCTCCATGCAGGGGAACCCCCGAGTGGCCCTGTTGAACAGAGGGTCCTCTCAGTGATAGCCAGGTGAGTGTGCACTCAGGCCTTTGCTGCAGAAAGGCTGCCATCTCTCTGTGATATCCTCAGCAGCCCACTTCTCCCTCTCCCCAGTCCCACCCCGGCTAGACATTGCTCCAGAGAGAATGCCCCGCTTAATGGCCCCCATGCTAATCTCAAAATCTGCTTTCTGGTGACGCCAAACAGCAATGCTGTGCTGTAATTCAGAAGTTCTAGTTCTGACTGTTGGATTCCTTAGGATCACAACAGACAGCATGAATAACTCACATGCTTACAAAGGCGAGCATCTACTGCATAGAACATGGAAATATACCCTAGAGGTCACTGGCCTCAGCAGCAGCGAGTTGATCTAGCGTCCTGACTGCACTTTACAAATCAGTGGGAGGAAGTACAGCACTGCTGCAGATGGCAATGTCACCCATCGGGTTGTTGTGGACAGATCTGGTTACATTGTCCGACTCATTCACTAGGATGTGTCCACATCCTGCACCCCTTGAGCACATCAGGGCAAGCAGCTGTTCACTCTGAAGATGTGTGGTTTCACATCTCTGAAAAGCCAGCTGCCCGAGCCACAAAGGCTAACCTGGGAAAAGATCACTGGGGACACTTTCTCAAAAGGTGGCTGCACAGCAGGTGGCACTAGGGATGTCTAGGCTTCTTTGGCACTCACCATGGTGCCATGGTGAGAAAGACTTGGCCACCCTGATGACAAGCAGTAGAGCACTGGAGTTCAGGGTAGTGGCTCTCAAAGTGATCTGTGGACCAGCATGAGCATCACCTGGGAAATTTTTTAGAAATGAAATTCCCAGGCCCTGCCCCAGACTTACTGAATCAGAGACTGGGTGTGGGGCCAGGAAGCTGCATTCTAACAAGCCCCACAAGGGGTTCTGATGCATGCTAACATTTTAGAATAGTGTTTGGTGACTTCTTCTGTAAAAGGCCAGAGAGTAAATATCTCAGGCTTTGTGGACCATGTGGACCCTGTAAGCAGCCATGGATAGCCTACAAACAGATGAGAGTGGCTATGTCCCAGTCAAACTGTATTTGTAGATGCTGAAACTTGCATTTCATGTAATTTCATGATGTCATGAAATATCGTCTTATTTTAATTTTTTCAACCATTTCAAAATGTATAAAACAATTTTTAGTTGCCAGGCCATACAACAGGCAGTCATCCAGGTTGACCCCAGCCTGTAGGTGCCACCCCGGGTGTTGAGTTCAGACTGGATTGGAATCCTGGAGCTCCCCTAACCAGGTGGGCAGCCTTGGGCAAGTCACACAATCTGTGTGCCTACATGTCCTCCAATATGAAATGGGGTAGTACTAGCACCTGTCTCACATGGATGCCGTTAACATTAAATGGCTACCACGCATATCACAGCCGTAAGTAGGAGCTTCTTATTTTCCTGTCCGTGAGTAACTTACCTCCTTCTTATGGTCAGCTGTCCTTTTCATGAGAGATACAGCTCTCCAGCACAGAGACCACCTAGAGTGAACCTGAGGCTCCCAATGGTCTTGTCTTGGGCTCCCCGACTGCCCTCCAAGATGGGTTCATAAGGGTTGCATGCTGCTCTTGCCCCAGGAGATGAGAACCCCCAGGGCTCTGGCAGGACGGCATCCTAGTTAGATGAACCAAATGAGCTCTTTCTCAGCCGTTGGTCTGCTGTGCTGCTCGGAGTCATCCGCGATGTTCCAGGCAACGCATCATGGCTCCAATTTAACAGTTGATGAGGTCAGTCCATCCTTTATTTATAGCTTGGCCTGGGAAGTGCCAAAAGCAATGTTTTAAATAATAGTAGGTGTCTGTGTGTGAGAGAGAGACAGAGCATGACAAGGGAAAAGTGACAAGAGCGGCAAATTGGCGATTCCCGTACTGGGGAACCAGCATACCAGCCCTAAATGACCCCGCTGAAAGGGATGAGGAGGCAGCATGCCTGGAGGAGGAAGTGGAGACCCTGCATGGAGCCTCAGCTGGCTGCCTGGACAGTGCCTATATGGAACCAGGCCAAGGCCCTGGACATCTGTGATACTCACTTGCGACGTGTTCGGGGCTGGGGGTACCCCTTTTCTACTGTGCCGTCCTTCCAGAGACTGGGAAGCACGCTCTATGCTCCAAAACGTTCCTTGTCTTCTCCCATCGAAATGTAAGCCACGCTCTCCAGGTGACAATAAAATCCCTATTTGGTGCAAGCAGTCCTGACAAATAGGGAAGTGCATTGTTTATGAACTAGATAACACTTTTTGGCTGTCCGTGATGAAAGACACTGAAATATGCTACAACGGAAACTGAGGTATTTGTCTCTAGAAATTAAGAGTTTTTGATGTAAGAGGTAGAGGGGAATAAAGAGGTTTTTCTTGTTCAACACTTTACAATTTTCCTAAACAAAAAGAGTCTGGTGCAAAATAGAAAATTCAATTGCACACAGTTTATCTAGATACTCTGTCTTATGTATAACAGGAACTCCAAGAGGTAATCAAGACTCTTCCTATTCACAGACGACTCAATTGAGGCTCAATAAGGTGAAACAAATTTCTCAAGACCCTGTGGGCAGGAGTGGAGGAGTGAAGCTAAGAGTTCATTTGGCAAATGAATCTGAGCCAATGAGAAACAGCTCCAAAACCTTCCCACGAGGGAGCAGATGAGAAAAGGTCACTATAGAGGCAAAGAAAGCCCCAAAACACTGCCAAAAAGTGCCCGCACGTGGTTTATTTTAATTGTCACTTCTCTGTGGCTTCCTTAAAAATTAATTTTGGCCGGGCGCGGTGGCTCACGCCTGTAATCCCACCACTTTGGGAGGCCGAGGTGGGCGGATCACAAGGTCAAGAGACCGAGACCATCCTGGCTAACACAGTGAAACCCCATCTCTACTAAAAATACAAAAAATTAGCTGGGCGTGGCGGCGGGCACCTGTAGTCCCAGCTGCTCGGGAGGTTGAGGCAAGAGAATGGCATGAACCCAGGAGGCGGAGCTTGCAGTGAGCCAAGATTGGGCCACTGCGCTCCTGCCTGGGCGATAGAGTGAGACTCCGTCTCAAAAAAAAATTAATTTCCCCATAGTAAGACAAGCTTTCCTTGGCTTTCAGTTACCACTTGTTAAGATCCTTGGTGACATTGTCCTCCATAGAGATAACTGTTTGGGTTGAAATCTCTAACCATGTCATGTGAATGCCAAGGAGGGACTGTTCCGGCCCCGTCTTCAGAGACAAATGCTCTACACTCTGACACGTTATTTTTTGTCTTCTCTTCCTCTTTGACTCCAGCCCTGTCCTTGTTGTCACTGACTCCTTCCTGCTTGGGCCAAGGACAGGCTGAGCTCTCCCCAGTACCATCTGGACAGAAGAGTCATGAGAGGGCCACAGCAAGGGGTGTCCATGGAATGCCATCTTGCTTAGAATGTTTCAAACTCATTCCAAGGACAACTGGAGGATTTTACCCTGGAGGATTTTTAGATGAACATGTGTTCCAATATGCAAATCTCTAGTAAAGGCCGATGAAGAAACCAAACTGGGAACAATGGAGCTAACGTTTCTTTTCTTTTTTTTCTTTTTTTTCTTTTTTTTTTTTTTTGAGATGGAGTCTTGCTGTGTCACCCAGGCTGGAGTGCAGTGGCGCCATCTCGGCTCACTGCAAGCTCCACCTCCTGGGTTCACACCATTCTCCTGCCTCAGCCTCCTGAGTAGCTGGGGCTACCGGTGCCGCCACCAAGCCAGGCTAATTTTTTGTATTTTTTAATAGAGATGGGGTTTCACTGTGTTAGCCAGGATGGTCTTGATCTCCTGACCTTGTGATCCACCTGCCTTGGCCTCCCAAAGTGCTGGGATTACAGGCGTGAGCCACCGCGCCCAGCCTGGAGCTAACATTTCTTGAAGGCCAGTGCCAGACACGGGCCATGAGTCACAGAAATATGGTAGCCAACCTTGGGTGAAGCCAATTTCTCATCCCTACTTCCCTCAGCAGAAGCCAATAGTGAGATAACTCCGTCTGACACGTGACTAGAACTCATTCTCTGAATTCTGAATCCTCTTTCGTTACTCTATGTTCTTTCTTAAACTCTGCAACCTGATAGTGTTATCCCTAATTCAGGAGAAATTTTACTTTAAAGCTGTGCCTCCCCCGGCGCATTCTCCTTCCCTTGGCCTCAGGAGGTATTCAACCATTTTGATGAGCCTAGAGATCTAAACTTATGAGAAAGGTTTGCCTGGGCTAATGTCCCTGCCCTGTTGGGTGGTGCCTGGGGTGCCATGCCACTTGGGCACATGGAAAACACACACCCCCCATGCGGGTGCTTTCAGGGCTTGGAGAGTGTGCAAAGTGTGTACTCTTGCCACAGGTGGCCAGCGTGGCGGGTGGGAGTCCTGGGTCTCCTCCCCAGATATCCACTGCTGAGTGAACCCTGCCAACCCTTGTCATCTGTTTTGCTTCAACGTCTGCCCAAAAGGCTGTGAGCAAAATCATTCCCTCAGCATTTTTCTCACAGCTCAGAGAGGGAGAAAGAGAAGGATGAAGGACGTTCACCCTCTGGCCCTGCCCAGAGGCCTCTGTGGGCGTCCCGCAGGCAGAAGAGGATGACAGATGTCACCCCTTCCCTTGTGTGCAGGGGAGGCCGCCTCTGCCTGATTCTGTCCAGTTAGCAAAACAGGAGGAGCTGCCAAGACAAATAGCCGAGGTATGAGAGTTACAGCTAGCGCTCACCACGGTGTGAAACAGACCCGTGAAACGAGACATAAAGGATGCTGCCTGGAATAGCTTGAATGTCGAACATTCTTTCCCAGTGGAGGGACAGAAGGAGGCCGGCAGCAGCAGTGTGGGAGATGGAGGCACCGTGTTGGGAGATGGAGGCACCGTGTTGGGAGATGGAGGCACCGTGTTGGGAGATGGAGGCACCGTGTTGGGAGATGGAGGCACCGTGTTGGGAGGTGGAGGCACTGTGTTGTCCCGGGGGCCGAGGCGCGGGGCAATCCCAGGCATCACCCTGGGAGATGGGAGACAGTGCCCACTCTTCGCCTATTCCATGCCAAGGCTCCCTGCTACGCTCATCACAAAATAACGTGGCTATTAATAGGTCATATCAAAAGAGCCCTTGTAGTTTCTAATCATTTTCATCTGGCTTAGGGAACAGCAACCATAAAATGTCTGTCTGGTGGCTGCTGGGCCGGCGGGGCAGGTTTCTATTAGCCAGTACTCAGAACGCGGTGGCAATGACAGGCGAGGCAGAGGATGGTTTATGGGCTTTAATGCCGGTGCTGACATGGAGGATCGGAGCGAGATTTATTTTATGCCTGGGCCATCGCTGAACACTGAAAACCAGTCATTACAAGCCAGATGACAACTGGAATGCAGTAATCACTTGAAGGAATATTTATTTGGTTTTTAAGTTTTTGGATGAATCTGGTGTTCGGAAAGTCAGGGACCGCTAGGAAGTCAGACTATGCCATTATTACATCCAAACCATTATACATTTGCTAGCCAATTATGTAATCCTATATGGAAAACATAACCAGAAAGCAGGATAAGCCCCAAGACCTGAAGGCTCATTATTCCAGGCTCACCATCGTTTGTGGTTACCACACACCCTAAATATTATTAATGGACCAAAAGAACCCAATACTTGTAAAGTCTGGTCAGTATCATTAAATCCACAGCTCCCTGTGACAGTGAATTTGATGGAGTGGCAATATGTATTAGGTCACTTTTCTTCTGACTCATTTCACTGGATTTCATGCGATAAAGTAGCAAAAAGAGGCCATTTTTATTAAGCCCATTGTCAGCCTAAAGGTTCAATTAAGTTTCTATAAACACATCTTCTTTAGACATCCCTGATGTCAGCATTCCTGCTCTCAAGAAAGTCATGCCTTAGAATTAACTACATTTACTCGTGACATTGTTAATGGTTCTTGCTTCTTCCAGATGAGCAAAGGAGGTTGGGCAGAAATGTTAGATATGCTACTATTTCTTTTCTTTTTTTGTTTTAAGATGGAGTCTTGCTCTGTTGCCCCAGGCTGAAGTGCAGTGGTGTGATCTTGGCTCACTGCAACCTCTGCCTCCTGGGTTCAAGCGATTCTCCCGCCTCAGCCTCCCAAGTAGCTGGGACTACAGGTGTGTGCCACCATGCCTAGCTAAGTTTTTGTATTTTTAGAACAGACGGGGTTTCACCATGTTAGCCAGGAGGGTCTCGATCTCCTGACCTTGTGATCTGCCCTCCTCAGCCTCCCAAAGTGCTGGGATTACAGGTATGAGGCACTGCGCCCAGCCATATGCCACTATTTCTATAAGATATGGCCTAACGCTTCCTGCATCATCTTCAATTCATCCATCCCACTTAACTATCTTGTTTTTCTTTCCTTTCCAGAACTCTACGCAAGCATTTTTTGGGGATAATTTTTCTCCCTAGGAGGATCCATCGTTTTCCGAGTGCACCAGGAACAAGAAGCTGGGCTGATTCACAGAGGGTGGCTCAGGCGGCCCCTCCCATGGCACTCGGCCTAACTGGTCAGTCAAGCGTACCCAAGGCTCCAGACAACGTCACAGCCTAATGGCTGCTGGGTGTGTCCACAGCGTGAAATGCATTGAGCTGTTTGCTCCTGTGGGCACATTTCTGAGTCTATGTCATCCCCACCAAAATAATTCATGTTTTAAATGTACATGAACTATGATCATAGACGTGCTCTCCCTGTCTCTTCTCCATCAAGTCTCGGGTAAGCACAAAGCAAATAAAGGAAAAGCCCTCGAATGTGCACTGAGATTCTGGAGCTTTGGACTGGGTGTGTTATTACTGGAGAGACGGCCACACACAGGGTTAGGGAGAAGGTAGATACCAGAATCCCTCTCCTGCCCTTTAACTTCTTGTTGCCAGTTCCCATCTTGACTTCAGGTGTCACCTCTTCACCCATCCCCTGGCTTCTGTTCAACAACTTCTACTTTGTAGGGTGTTTTTGCTTTGTTTTAGAGACAGGGTCTCACTCCGCCACCCAGGTTGGAGTGCAGTGGTGCGATTATGGCTCACTGCAGCCTCAAACTCCTGGGCTCAAGCAATCACCCCACCTCACCCTCCTGAGTAGCTGGGACTATAGGCGTATGCCACCATGCTTGGCTAATTTTTTTATTTTTTGTAGAGATGAGGGTCTCCCTGTGTTGCCCAGGCTTGTCTTGAACTGCTGGGTTCAAGCGATCCTCCTGCCTCCGCCTCCCAAAGTGCTGCGATTACAGGCATGAGCCATTGCTCCTGATCCTACTTTGCATGTTTTAGATTTTCTCACATCTGTGTTTAGCAAACTTAAAGAAAAAAGATATCAGAAAAAAGAAAAGCAAATCTTGCTGCATTTTTCTTCCAGGGTAGCCCTGTGCAAGGAATTCATTCAGTTTCTTATCTAAGCACCCTTTTTCAACCATGTCAGAAATCAAGACATTTCTGAGACAGCATTGAAAGCTAATAAATTAGGCAAACACAAACCTATTTTTCAAAGGCTTTGAAAGGCTTTCAAAGCTGGGACACAGAGGTCCTGGCCGAGGGCTGCAGCTCTCCGTGGCCTCACGCGCGGCACTCTCGGTGTCTGCACCACGGGTTCTTCTGTTCTGGTTCCCACGGTCCATGCTGCATGTCCTCCATCCTGGCATGGGCCTCCCCAGTGGGCTTCTGTCCTCTGACTTCCCGTTGGCCTTGGTGATAGAGAGTGAGGTCAGGGTATTTGTTCCCCAGCTTCCTTCCTGAGGAGTTGCTTCTGACGGGCTTTGTCCCCTGAGCTAAGGTGACAGTTCTTCTCCAGCCGGCCTTTGCCACAGCACTCTCACCTTTCAGCTTCCTGTAACCACTGGCTGCCCTCATCCAGCGTTACCATCACCCATCGTGTCCCTAAACCCTGCTGCATCTTTACCCGGCTCAGCCAGGGGAGGAGCCAGCCCACATCTCAGGCCGTATCGTTTATCCAAAAAAGAAGAAATGCAATGCATTTCCCCAAGAATGGGCTGTTTGGGAGCAAATCCAATTCGTCATAGAAATAGCCTGCACGGATCAGCGCAGGAAGGTTAGCTTGTCAGAGATGCAGCTACTTGTGATCCATCCTGAAGTCAGTTATAACCCCTAGAATCTAGCAGACTAGATCACCACAGCTCCATTTTGCACAGACACACATACACATATACACACACGTCCACATGCATGCACACACGTACATGGACACACATGCACACACACATGCACATGCACACACACATGCACGGATGCACAGACCCCCAAGCACATTCCCTGCTCTGCTTCCTGCCCAGGTACAGGTGTGGCTTTGTCTACACAGTCCCCAGTGCTCCCACGTCCCACAGCATAAATGCATGCCCAGGCACTGGGTGTGTGGAGACTCCTGGTGCAGGGGAAGTGTGAACACGTGCTCACACCTGAAGCACTAACTTCCAGCTGTGGGCAAAGGTAAGTACAGCAAGGCCACCACCAGCCTCCCCGCAGCCCCCACTGGGATCCCCCCATTCTGCTCTGGGACTTTGCTGGGATGCCCACCAGCTCTGCAGGGCAGGCTGTGCATGCAAGGCCCACGCGAACAGATGCCCACAAAAACGGGGGCCATCAAGACCACGAGTCTTGCTTTCCCTCTGAACCAGCCAGAAGTTGAAGTCAAGTCACCCGAGGGGAGCAAGCATCCAGCCACCCGCATCCACTGTGACAACAGTGCCACATCCGCTGCAGGCCGAGGTTCTGGTCACCCGAGGGGAGCAAGCGTCCAGCCACCCGCATCCACTGTGACAACAGTGCCACATCCGCTGCAGGCCGAGGTTCTGGTCACCCGAGGGGAGCAAGCGTCCAGCCACCCGCATCCACTGTGACAACAATGCCACATCCCTGCAGGCCGAGGTTCTGGGAACAGAAAAGAAAGCTTGGAAAACAGAAACCCTGCGACATTCCCGCAACCCGAAAACCAGGGTGACTCCCGGGAGGGACACTTGTGTATCCGTTTGTTTGCATCTCTTGGTTTCCTACTTTCACCCCAAACCAGAAAAAGGGACAGGCGATACTAAAAGCAATGGTACATTTTTGTCATATTTCTCATCCACTCAGAACTAGGAAACAGCAGAAATCTTGTGGGAAAGTCACTTCTCAGGAGATTTCTAACCCGATTTCCTAACTACAGTGGTCTGGAGTTTTTGCCTAAATTTTAGATAAGGTCTTAATTTCTGGTTGCTTGGCTGCTCACATTTCAAATTCTTCTCAGGTTCACATCAATCATTCCAAGAGACAAGCGAAACATTTCACATAACACAATGTGCTGGTTTTTAGCATATCTTTGGTCTGAATGTGTAAGACTTCTGTGTCTTTGAGGAAAAGCATATCTCCCAAAAAAGGCCCCTCTCGCTTCCTCTCTCTCCCTCTCTCACTCCCCCCCCCTCCCTCTCTCACTCCCTCTGTCTCTCCCTCTCTCACTTCCTATCTCCCTCTCTAGCGTGCTCTCTCTCTCTCCCTCTCTCTCTCTCTGGCTCCCTCTCTCTCTCCCTCTCTCTCTCTCTCCCACTCTCTCTCTCTCTCTGGTTCCCTCTCTTGCTCCCTCTCTCTCTCCGTATCTTGCTCCCCCCCCCCACCTCTGGCTGCCTCTCTCATTCCCTCTCTCTCTCTCTCACTCCCCCTCTCTCTCCCTCTCTCACTCCCTCTGTCTCTCCCTCTCTTTCTCTGTGTCTCATTGTCCTTATGTCTCTGTCTTCCCTCTTTCTCATTCCGTTCCTCTGTGTCTCTGCTTCTCCCTTATACTCTTGCCTTCCCTCCTTCCCTTCCCTCTCTGTCTCTCCTTCTCCTCTCTCTGTCTCTCTCTCTCCCCTTTCTCTCTCTGTCTACCCTCCCTCCTCCTCAAATCTGAAGCTCGCTCTCACCACCCCTGCAGCCCAGACTCCAACACTGACTGAACTGTGAAACCAAGTGTGCTGTAAACACAATGTATGAGGAAACCACAGAAATGAAGACAATTAGGGTAAATAAGATCCAGTGATCAAATATAGCTAATTTGTATCCATAATATTTGGGAGTTACACAGTCTGCTTCAATTTGAAAGATATCTTCCAGACCACACTGTTTTTTCTCCGTGGGGACTGCCTTTTGCTTTTTATTATTGAACCTGAAGAATTCTTGCCATAATTTGGGGTTAGCTTGTAATTCTTGAAGAAGAAAAAAAACAATTCTAGTCCACAAATCCTCCTGTATTCCATCACTTCCAATAATAGGCTTCTATGGCCAAATTGACCATCAATCAGTTGTGTTTCTCAGAAGGAGTGGGTGAAGCAGGGAGAGGAATTGGAGAAACTCACAGCAAGCATGGCCTCAAATAGCAGTGGGGTGGATGGAAACTCTTTGGCAAAGAGCCTTGGCTAAATAAAATGTATAAGAAAGGTCTCAGAAATAGAATATGTTACAAAGAAAAAGTGAACTGTAAACAACAAGACTTCACCTTCCTGCTTAAGGGGTGTTGAGCGCCTTTAGGAATTGCTAACACTGTCCACAATTTGAGAAGTGCATTCCATGGCGCCGTCTTGTTGATACTAATTGATCCTTGTGATAGAAGGTGGAGCATGCCCTTGGTCCCACCCAGGGGTGCTGGGATGCTTGGAGGACACTTACAACAAGTGGGCTTTCATTCTCCAAGCAGGGCTTGCAGCGACAAGGACAGCAGCCTGAGCCTCCTCACTTGACACGAGATTGTTTTGCACACACCATCCATGAGCCAGCGGCATGCCATGTGAACCACGCCTTTATTTTCTACACTCTGCTGCTTCCACATCCGGGGCCTAGGCTGACCCTGGAGACTCTGCTCCTCCCCACTGTGCCCCACCCCACCCCCAGGTAGCTAATTCCTTGAGACGATAAACAACTCATCTGCAAGCTCCCACCTTTCATATATACCCCAACCACCTCCCTCATGGGGTTCTCATGCTCTGGGCCACCATCCACCTTCCCTAATACACCCAGGTCCATGTACCAGACAACTAGGGACAGTCCTATGAGCCAGAGCCTGCTGAAATTATTCGACAAGGCCAATCCTCAGCCTGCTTACCCTTCCTTACCTGTTCCTTCCTGCTGAAACCCCAGTAAAGGCTCTGGCCACAGTTCCTCCCCTTCCTCTACCTCCCAACCAACCTGGTGCTTTCATGTGCCCCCATGACACGGCACGCCCCTCCTCTTTGGAACTGTGTGTAATAAGCTACCTCTTCAGTGGTAGTCATCTCCTGATCTGTTGGCCTTATATACCCGAATAAGAATAAAACTCACATTTTAAAACACAGGTCTTTCTAGCCAGAGACATCAAAGACCAGGAATTCATTTCTCAGGAAAAATAGGCTTATTTTCTCGCAAACCAGTCATGTTTTAAAAAGTAACAGGGAACAATAGCATTCCAAATTTTCAAAAATAAAACACTGTTTATCAAGTTGGCAATTTTACATACACGCCCACACATAGAGCTGCAAGAGCATGCCACTGGAACACAGGCTCTCTCATCAATGTTGTGGGAATGTGAATAGGAACAACTTTTCTGGAAGTGTATTTGGTATGAGTATTTGAAGCTTTAAAAATCTGCTTACCCTTTCACCTGGAAATTCTACTTTGAGGAATATATCCTAGGGAGAAAAACAAAAAGACATAGTAAAATGGTTTTCCTGAAAGCATCATTTGTAATTTAAAAAAGCGGGGAGAAGCATCAACCACTGACTATCCAGGAACAGATGACTCGGTGAGTAAGTGATGGTACCTGCGGAACAGGAGGCTCCATCCTGCCACTACCATGACGACTGGTGAATGCAGAAAGATGTTCACAGCATAATTCTAACTTAAAAAAAGATATTACAGGCCGGGAGCGATGGCTCACACCTGTAATCCCAGCACTTCGGGAGGCCGAGGCGGGCGGATCACCTGAGGTCAGGAGTTCAAGACCAGCCTGGCCAATATGGAGAAACCCCATCTCTACTAAAAATACAAAATCAGCCGGGCGTGGTGGCAGGTGCCCGTAATCTCAGCTACTCGGGAGGCTGAGACAGGAGAATCGCTTGAACCTGGGAGGGGGAGGTTGTGGTGAGCTGAGATCGTGCCATTGCACTCCAGCCTTGGGAACAAGAGCAAAACTCCATCTTAAAAAAAAAGACACGATTATCAGTCTATGTCCTCACAAGTAGAAAAACAGATATTTACCAATATCTGCTCTGAATATCTTAAAATCACAAATGTCCACCTCCAGTATCAGTGTGCGTGGAGAGCAGTGTCAGCACCCAGGGACCACTGAAAGATTATGGGGCACCCTGGACAAACGTATAAAAGGGCTGGACAGGTACATGCTGGGGTGTAAATAACAGCGATTCTTGGATGATGAAATCATGAGTGTTATGTAGTCATAATTGTGGGAATTTCAAAAAATGAAATCAGGCCGGGCACAGTGGCTCATGCCTGTAATCTCAGCATTTTGGGAGGCCAAGGCGGGCAGATCACTTGAGGTCAGGAGTTCCAGACCAGCCTGGCCAACATGGTGAAACATTGTCCCTACTAAAAATACAAAAATTAGCTGGGTGTGGTGGCGGGTGCCTGTAATCCCAGCTACTCAGGAGGCCGAGGCGTGAGAATGGCTTGAACCCAGGTGGCAGTGAGCTGAGATCACACCACTGTACTCCAGCCTGAGTGACAGAGTGAGACTCCGTCTCAAAACAACAACAAAAAGAAATCATGAGATATCATGAGTGTTTTTAAATTCTCGTTTGTTTGCTTATGTTTAAATCTAATGTTCCTATAATGAACATATTTCCTTTGTATTAAGGAACACTTTTAAAACATTTCTCAAAAAGCCATTCCTAAGAAATGGAAGGAAGAGTCAACTCAAAAGAGGTATCTACCCGCTCCCCAAAGAGAATTCCATTTTTGGGGCTGTCAGGGTTCCTTCAGGTCAGTAGGATACAGTTCAGACCATGAGGGCTGACAGTCTGCTTTGCTGAGCGACTATGTTTTCTAGACCAGAGAACAGGGCACAGAGTTTGGTAACTGTGCTTGCTCTTTGGAAGTAAGATCGCCCCAGGGCAGGGCAATCCTGTAGTTGCCAAACTAGTCTAACCTTTGAAAACCGCAGAGACCCACAGGTGGAGGCTTAAAGGAAAATTAAGCTGAAGCAAAAACAAATAAGCAAACATGGTTCTAAACACTGGAAAGATGGCCCTTCATTAAACTGTCACCCGATTCCCTTCAACTCAGCAACATTACGGGGGATCTTGTCTGTGCCAGGCAGAGGCTGGGTGCTGAGGACAGAGAAGTGGATGGGCATGGTCTCTGCCTGTGCTCCGCAGGGCCATTGAGCATCTTCTCACCTGGTGGCAAGAATGCAGGCCCTTGGAAGGATGAACGCAGGGAGGACTAGACAAAACAGACATGGAGTTCAATTGTATTGACTGATTGTGAAAGTTAACCACCCTGAGCCTCATTTGCACCCATATCTGCAAAATGGGCATAATAATAAATACGTCATGGCGATGTTGTAAGAATCGCACGTATGAAGTGGCGAGGTCCGTGCCTGTCTCTCCATTTCCATGAACTGTTCCACACCCCACTGAACAAATGGTCAGCTCCTGCCAGGGCAGTCCAACCCAGCATTTTCACCATTTAACTTACAATTACTATTCTAATCAGCCATGGTTCCGAGAGTGCCTAGTGGATGCTGGGCATTAGTATCTGGAAAGAATTCTTGACAGTCTTCGTTTGATCATCTGAATTTCCTAACAGCTGCTCCTGGAACGCTTTCATAACGTAGAATGGCTTGAGCTAGCTGAAAAAATGCTTGTGACATGCTTGCCATACATCTTAACTAATTAGACGGATCTTCACAGCTTAAAAAAAAAAAAAAAAAAAAAAGCAGAGATTTGGCCGGGCGCTGTGGCTTACACCTATAATCCCAGCACTTTGGGAGGTTGAGGTAGGCAGATCACGAGGTCAGGAGATTGAGACTGTCCTGGCTAATACGGTGAAACCCTGTCTCTACTAAAAATACAAAAAAATAGCCCAGTGTGGTGGCGGGTTCCTGTAGTCCCAGCTACTCGGGAGGCTGAGGCAGGAGAATCACTTGAACCCAGAAGGTGGAAGTTGTAGTGAGCCGAGATTGCGCCACTGCACTCTAGCCTGGCAACAGAGCAAGACTCTGTCAAAAAAAAAAAAAAAAAAAAAAAAAAAAAAAGCGGAGATTTGGATAATTAGCAGAATAACTCTGTATTAATAAATTCTGTATCCATCCTTTTCCTGCCCTAATATCAGAGCAAGCTTGTTATTTTCTATCACATTT